CATCCCAACAGGCTTCAAGCTTCCGAACATCGATACATATGAAGGGATAACCGACCCCTACGTTTTCTCGGCTACTCCTAAAGGACAAGCTCGAACCTGGTTCTACTCTCTGCCATGGGGCACTGTAAACACCTTTAATGAGCTTGTCAGACTGTTTATAAAACAGTTTGTAGCAAACCAACGGATCATCAAGGATTCATGCCATCTCTCGGGAATTCTTCAAAGCGAAGGAGAATCATTGAAGGATTACTTCCGCAGGTTTTCTACTGAATCCCGGCAGATCCCGGGAGTAGATCCAGAGTTACTAAGAGGAGTCTTCCTTGGGGGGATCGACCCAACACCTTTCTACTCATCATTGATCCGGGAGACGGTTCATTCTTATGTTGACCTTGTTCACCGTGTTGAGGCACAAATCTCTACAGATGAGGTCATCATTGCTCACAAGGAACAATTTGAGTGATTGGGGGGCAAGCGCAAGAATAACGCTGGAGATACCAATCAATTCTCGCAACAAAAAAATTTTAGGCCACAAGGTAATCGTGAGCAACGATCAGAAAAAGAATACAAGTCACTCAACACGTCACATGTTAACATCTTAATGACAATCAATGATGAAGAGACTGTCAAGTGGCTAAAGTCGTTAAGAAATCCAAATGGTGGAGACCAGTCTCAATATTGTCATTTTCACCGTGCAAAAGGACATTCAACAAAAATATGTTTTCAATTAAAGGAAGAAATTGAAAGTCTAATACGTCAATGTCACCTAGGTCGCTACCTACAACAACAATGTGAGGGGAACCAAAAGAGAACCGTTGAAGTTATTGAATGAGCAACTCATATTATCTGAGTAAAAGACTGGCTTATAAACTCTTAATTTTATTTTAGCAAAATTTTTATGTTGCTTTAAAATATCATTTCAATGAAATTTTCTTATTTTCTCACGAAAGATTTTTGTGTAGAAAACCCCCTTGAGGATGAGAAGCTATACCCCTAAAAGTCGAGCCCAAGAGGCAAGACTCGACGGGAAGATATCATACTCATAAAAATCAAGCCCAAGAGGCAAAACTCAATGAGAAGCTACCGTAGGACGAGCCCAAGTGGGAAGTTTCGATGGGAAGCTAGTTGTGGATAGGGTCCTCACTAGAAAGAATCCATGAGAGCAAGTGGTTGACAAAGTCTCCACTCAAAGACCTCAGAAGACTACAAGCCTCAGAAGGCACAGGTACACTCAAAGACCTCAGAAGGCTACAAGCATCAGAAAACACATGTACACTTAAAGACCTCAGAAGACTATAAGTCTCAGAAGACACAAGTGCATAAAAGACCTCAGAAGACTATAAGCTTCAAAAGACACAAGTGCATAAAAATTCCTCAAAAGGCTACGAGCCGCAGAAGAATTTTGCAGAATTTTGCACAATTAAGAAGCCACAACAACCGTGGAAGCAACAAAAAAATATATTGTTATCATCTACAATTGTCACAAAAGATGAATAAAAATGCTACAAATACCAACATATACATGTACAAAGGCTACAACAAATCAGTTCATCTTCAATTAGAGTCGACATCGCTTTCCTAAAATTCCGATATATCTGATAATCGTCAAGGGGTCTCCAGATATCGCCACCACATATACATGAAAATTCCCCCTTATGGCGAGGCCAGAAAACTACATCATTTCTTCATCACTTTCATAACATGCCAAAGCAGCACAAGATCTCCTTCAGAATATGCGATGCTCCACCACAATGTGCGCGTGGTCGCAATGCCCCGTCGCGACACCCTGCCGAGATGCTCGTCCGCAACGTTTCGCTGCAACTCTTCGCCGCAACGTTTCACCGCAACACTTTGCCGCATTATTTCGCCGCAACTCTTCGCTGCAACGTTTTGCTGCAATGTTTCACCTCAACTCATAACCGCAACGTTTCGCCGCAACACTTCACCGTAACATTTCGCCGCAACTTTTCGTCGCAACTCTTCGCCACAACGTTTTGCCACAACACTTCACCGTAACTCTTCGCCGCAACGAAAAAAAAGATCATGTTGTTTGTTTGCTACGTAGGATGGGGACGACTTTCTTCTTTTGGGAAATCCCGGATCACCTTATAGGCAGCGACGAGGACTCCATCTTTTTTTTTCCTCTCCTTGGCCTATTTATATGCTGAAAAACCCTCTCATATTCATGATAAAATTAATTAGTCATCAAAAAAAATTATTTATTAAAAAAAAACTTTTCATTTTATATTCCTTCAGTTTTTTAGTTTTTAAAATTCTACCTTTATGATTGAAATTAATTAAAAAATAAATTAATAAAAAAACTTTTCACATTTTGTGTCACATTTTGTGATTTAAAAAATATACATTTAAATGTCTATTTTTTATTTAAATCTTGCCGAAATCGTGGCCTTGGAATTCTTTAATTAATTAATTAAATGACCGGTTCTTTAATTAATTTTGGCTGCTTTGTGACCCTCAGATTCCTGCTCAGCCCGTTCAGCTGCCAGGAGTTCAGAGGCCAGAGGCCCGTTCAACGTTAACCCAAGAGTTCATAGGCCCGTTTAGCGTTCAACCCGTTTAGTTTGCTTCGGGCTTCATGCCCCGCTATGACCCACATATTTAATTAATATATATATTGAGTCGGGAGGGATTTGATCCCACGCCACCTGCAAAGTGTCAAAAAATGAACTACCAACTGAGCTTTTAATATTCTATTTAAAATAAATAATAATTTTATTTGTATATTGATTGTAATAAAGTATATATATCTAAAGTTTTTAAGTATTAAAAAATGAAAAGTCTATAGATCTTAATATTTTCAGAAGAAAAAAAAAATAGTTTCCCCAGAAAATAGGGGGGCAACTGATACGCCACTAACAAATTTTCATCATCTAGCACGAATCTCAGTATAATTTTTTGAACAAGAAACATTCAAACTTCGATTAAGTGTCATCCAAAGCTCCGATTTCAGCAAACTTATAGTCAAATTGATCGACTCGATGAGACGGACCTAATGATATGAAAGTCAGTCCAATCCAAACCAAAGCAAGCCCGGATCAAACCATTAAACCACTATTGGAGAATTTTCGGAGGCATTTGAAAGGTCAAACAGATGTCGAATCTAGCAAGTTCAATGTCGAATCGAGCGTCTCGACAAGACAAATCCAACAAGCCCAATATTGCTCAATTCCGACATCGTTAAGGCACTCAAATGTCCATCAAACGTCATCTGATCAAAGGAAGCTCTCCGGACCGTCCGATCAAAATGGTTCATATTCCTGCATTAATGACACTCAAAACACTATAAATGGAGTCTCACCACTCACATGAAAGGGAGGAGGCTTAAGATAGAACTTGAGGCTTTGAGAAGGAGCTCAAGTCCAAGATCACCATCGCCATCGTCGATCCTCGTCGACCACCACTGACCTCTGTCGACAACCACCGCTGACATCTGTCGACCACCGCCGGCCACCGTTGATCGTCGTCGATCACAGTTGACCTCCGTCGATTATCTTCAACTACCGTCGATCACTGTCAATCTCCGTCAACCACCGTTGAACATACGTCGTCAGTCGATGTTGTAACCTGGAAAACTAGTAACTATTTCCCGCCCGTGGGGCAAGGGGCATCTGTAATCATCAACTTATAGTAGATTTTTACAATTGGACTAGGTCCCGTGGTTTTTCCCCTTTTCGGGTTTTCCACGTAAAAATTTCTGTTGTTATCACAACTTGATTTATTTTCATCTGAGTGTGCTGAATCCTCGCACAACGCTAAGACAATAATCCATTACTTTACCACCGCGAATTTACTAGGCACTCTAATGACAAACGAAACTTTTTTCTAATTATGTTTTTTTTAAAAGTTAAATTTTCATTTGAAAGACTTTTTTTATAAAAAAAAGCAGGATAATTTGTGATACAATAGTAAAAATAAAACATAAAATAAAGAAACATGATTCCAAATAAGACCTTTGTGAATCATTAGATCATTGTACACAATATTTATTATTATTAAATTAGTAATGAATCACAATAAACCCGAAAAGCTCATAAGATTAATATTAAGGGGCATTTACATATATGTCACCTAATTCCTATATATTTACATTTCTAACTGCAAAATTTTTTTTTAAAGATTTATAACACTCAAATCTTTCATATTATATAAAAATATTACAGTTTTAAGTTTTAGAAAGTGCAAAGTGACATTTATATAAAAATTGAAGTTTAGGGGCTCATTATATAAATACATAGAAATTGAGTGATATCTTTGTAGATCTTCCTAATATTAAAGAGGGAATTGAAGTTCAACCTAAAGGCGGAAGGAAGAATAGGGGCAGAGGTCCAAAAGGACACTAATGGGCATAATTATAGAATAGCCAGCTTTCCACTGAAGCAACAGCTTCACATGACCATCAGCTCTTATATCACATCCCAGCGTACTGCTTGCCCTCTATTATTTATGCCTTTCACTTGAATTCTTTCTATAACAGCATACTCTATGAATACAATTGTAGAATTATCAATTATCTCCGCTGAAAATTCCTCCTTTTCCCGATCAGTCCAAACTCAAAAATATGGTGGGTGAACTTTTTTCAAAAGCAATGCACTTATGTTCAAACAAATATGCAATCAAGATCAAGAATCTCAAAGACTTTTATGCCACGACAAAACAAAGAGGTCAGCTAAAGGGCAGGTGAGCTCAATGATTGGACTCTGTAATTGAAAGGATCAAGCAACACCAGAGAAGAAAAATAACAGGGAAGATAATTCTTGTCTTATTATTTGTCTAATTCTATTACATGCACTGGAGTGAAACTTCTTGATTCGTTTATAAAACACTAATTCCTGCAATCAAACAATAATTCTTACAATCAAAGCTTTAAAGATCCAACCTTTCATACTCAACAGCTTTAAACTTCTGGATTCGGTTATATATAATTCTAACTTTTATGATGAGTTTTAATCCATATTTTGTAAAACGGGATTTTGGAATGCCAGCACAGTTGTATCAATTAATTACTTAAAAAGCTCTATTGTTATCGAACAAGCTTCAAAAATACGTGGCTTTAATACATTTGACTAAGTGTTTGGTGCCTAACAATATACATTGTTTAAAAGCTTTGATATTCCACTCTTTCGGGGTTCACTGAGAAGCTTAAGCAGTAGAAATGGGATCCTCTGCTGCTGCTGCTTCTATTCTCATGATCTCATTTCTCCTACTCTCTTCTTCCCAATGCTTGAGAGAGAGAGAAACCGACAAAATAAGCAAGAATCAAGCAGTGATATTGCCATTGAGAACTCAGAAGCTTTCCCCGCCGCTTCTCCTTTCTCAGCCATCCAACAAGCTTCTCTTCCATCACAACATCTCTCTCACCGTCTCCCTCTCCGTCGGAACTCCGCCGCAAAACGTCTCCATGGTCCTCGACACTGGCAGCGAACTCTCATGGCTTCTCTGTAACTCCTCCACTGACTACTCCTTCCACCCTCTCTCCTCTTCTTCCTTCTCTTTCATCCCCTGCTCCTCCCCAACCTGCCAATCCTACGTTCCCTGCGACCCCTCTTCTCGCTGTCAGATCTCCCTCTCCTACGCAGACGGCTCCACCTCCGACGGACTCCTCGCCTCTGATCTCTTCCTCCTCCCCGTCCATAAATTTGCCGCCTTTGGCTGCATAAACACATCTTTCTCGTCCTCCGTCTCCGACCAAACCGCAGTTGGACTTCTCGGCATGAACCAAGGACCCCTCTCCTTTATCACGCAAACCTCCATCCGACGTTTCTCCTACTGCATACCCGCCGCCGCAGAAGCCGCCGGCGTGCTCCTCCTCGGTGACGCAGACCTCAACTTCGTCCCACACTTAAACTACACTCCTCTGTTCCAAATCTCACTTCCTCTACCGTACTTTGACCGCGTGGCCTACTCCGTTCAGCTCGAAGGCATCCGCGTCGCCGGTAACCTGCTTCCAATCCCGAAATCCGTGCTCGTACCGGACCACACGGGTGCCGGACAAACCATCGTCGACTCCGGAACGCAGTTCACGTTCCTATTGGGCTCTGCTTACTCGGCGCTAAAAATCGAATTTTTAAGGCGGACGAAGGGGGTGCTGAAGGAATTGGAGGAGCCGGATTTTGTCTACCAGGGAGCGTTCGACGCGTGTTTTCTGATTCCGTCGCTGCGAGCGACGCCGCCGGAGGGTATTCCTGCGGTGTCTCTTGTGTTGCCCGGAGCAGAGGTGGTGGTCGGCGGCCAGCGGCTGCTTTACCGGGTTGCAGGAGAACGGCGCGGTGGTGATTCTGTGTGGTGTTTGACGTTTGGTAACGCAGATTTGGTGCCGATCGAAGCGTACGTAATAGGGCATCACCATCAGCAGGATCTGTGGGTTGAGTACGATCTGGACCGGGGTCGGGTTGGCTTTGGTCCGGTTCGGTGTGAACTTGCCAGCCAACGGATCGGTGCCGGTTTGTGACTGTTGGTGGACTCTATTTGTTTGGGATAATTTTGGTAGGCTCAAGGTGTTGTTTATTTGAAATTAAGAAGCTGTAATTAAAGCACATAATCAATTCTATTTGGAGATATTTATTATCATTATTTTTATTTAAATCTTAACAACTTCATTTGCTCAAATTTACATCATATTAACTGTGCAACAATTCATAGCATGCTACCAAATAAATCAAAGAGTTTTTAGTTATAATATTATATTAATTTGTTGAGTAAGTGCATATTTAGGGCTGATACCAACTCATGTGAAAGATATTCTAACAATGACAACAATTTTGATGCTGACCACATACATTAATTTTTGGGGGGGTGTATGTGGAGAACACCCTAAACTTCCTATTTTACATATCAAACATCTAAACCCTTTTTTTTAAGGTATGAAGCACTCTAAATCTCCTAATCCTTAGAAGAAGCACTTTGTCTCTCCCGTGCGTCATGCCCGTCTTCGCCAGTGTCATTCGTCATGCTGGTCTTCTCCTCCATCATGCGTGTAATCCTTTTTTCGTCCTTCTGTTACTCATTCTCCCGCACAAATCAATGCTCTCCTTCAAAGTCTTCCTTTGTCACCCCCGTTTCGTTATTCTTCCTCTGTCTCACTCGCTTGGAATGTGGGCTTCATTCAACCACTTCGGCAAGTGGGCTCAGTTTAACCACTGTGTCAAGTGGGATCAATTTAACAACATCGACATGTTGGCTCCATAATATGCGTTGGCTCTCTTGTGAGAAAGGATCTTCTATAGTTTTTACTTCAGTCTATTGACATCCGTTAAATGTTGAACATATGGTTGAATGAATTTAGTAAAGTTGTTTGATGATTATGTCATTTTTCAGACAAAACCTATACTCTAACTTTTGGAGTTACACCGTTTGAGTTGCCTAAGAAAGGAAAGAAGATACAATAAGTAAGTTAGATCATTAATAATATTAACTGCAGTTGCTCAGACTTTTATAAGTACTCTCTTCGAGATTATAAAAGAGTTGTGATAGAATCATGAGTTCTGTATTTTTTAAGAAAAGTGATGTTACTTGGACAAGCTTTATATAACTATGAGCAAGATCCCAACATTTGAGATGAAAATTTCACGACGCAGCATAGAAGAGAACCTCTGCCATAGGAAGCAATTGGTCTTTCAAAAGTCGGAAGAGGATTCTTAGAAAAAAATCAAACTTTTCGAGGGACATGACATTCTGGTGAAGGGTCCTTCTTCTAGTTTGTTGCTAAAGGATGTGAACTATATAGATTCCTCAGCTGGGGTACTGTGGAGGGCCAAAGTTTGGTAGATGAAGTTTCATTGCTTCCACCTAAATCTTGCTCACCATGAAAGATTGCCCTAGATTTGAATAATCAAGTGAAGGGTCAATTTCTCGATGCGATTAAGGAATAAGAGGTGCTCGATGTGATGGTTTCCATTGGTCTTGATTATATTGGTTGTTATATAAGCCTTTTAATCATGAGTTTATGGCAATATCTCATAAGTTCACTTTGATAATGCAGGTGAGGTTGCATCGTGACAATCTCCCTCGGAAATTATGCTTGGAGATCATGTATATAAAAAGAGAGATCCCTCTATGAATCATGTTATTGAGGACAAGGCTGCTTGTCAGGAAAGTGTTGGTTCATTTTCGGAATGTAACGCAATGAGATATCATCAATTTGATGTTCCCTTCTTTGATGAATACAATACTCTATTGCTTTTGAAGAAGCCAATAGATCAGATCATGGAGGACTACGGAATGGGCACTATGAAAGTCATGATCCCATATGGAGCTGCTCACTCTAGTAGTGTTCAAGTTGTTGAAGAGTAAATGAGTCCAGTATTCGAGGGGTTTCAGACTTCGAGAGTTGAGGTTGCATTGGAGCTCTAGCTCGTGACTGCTTTCATCCCTCACTAAAAATTCAAGATAATTTGACCAACTTTGTGGCAGTATTGGAGGGTGAACTCGTGGACGTGTGAGGACTCATTTCTGATTTGAAAGCTAGACAACTAGTTGCTGATTTGAAGTTCTAACAGCAAAGGGCTTAATTCGAAAATGATCTTACTGAAGTTCACTGGAGGTTGGAGGCTGTGGTGGCCAAATCGACATATGTTTGATAACTTACAGAGTTAAGCAATCCGAGTAAATATATGGTATAGCACCTCCTTCGGGCGAGAGTCATTGGCATAGGGAAATCTACATGCATAACACATAATTTGTATATATTTATATATTGAACTCCCTAAGTTTGAAATATAAACTTAAATTAAGAAACATTGTAATACAAACACATTTTAAACATAATACTTATAATAAAAGCATGCTCCAAAATAAGACCCAAGAGCTATATTATTGATATATCCTACATTATTACATTTTATGTTCCAAATTACATAAACACTTTCAAAATAAATACAACACTGATAATAGTAACATAAATGCTATGAGTATGAAATTAAATAAAATGGAGATCTTCATAAAGATATTAAGCCTTCAAAATCGTCATCACGAGTTCTGGGCGCTTAAGCGCCCCAAATTACCTATGAAACAATCTTTTCCCGAGTAGCGGGAAAGTAGTGGCTACCCTGCTGGCACCTAGGCTCCAGTCCACTTTTTGGACTTGAAATTTTTTAAAATTAGAATCATTTTTTACCCCGACACTTCTCCCCATGCAGTTGAAATTTAAGATTTCATTGGACATGGGAGATTACATGGGGAGGCAAAAAGTGAGGCAATTATGCCACCATTTGACTTTTTTAAGAAGCCTCCGAAAAACTTCATCATGGCTATGACTCTTTCTTTTGTGATCTTCTCCTCATTTCTCTTAAACCTAAGGGCTAGGGCTTGGAGCAAGGGAGGAGAACTTAGAGTTTCCTTGGGAGAGAGCTTTTTGGGGCAAGGTTTTAAGGAAAGATCTTCATCTTCCTCAAGGAGAAACGCCAAGGAGTGGTGAATTCTTCTTCATCTTCCTCATCCCCCCTTTTTCTCCGGAGAAGTCCTTTTCTCTAGCGAACTCCTTTTCTCCAGTGAATTCTCTTCTCTCTGACAAACTTTGTTGGACACGGTGTTTTCTTCTTCCATCTGCTTCAAGGAAAATGGCTAGGAAAGATTCATCCTAACATGGGAGAAGGTCATACGCCAACAAATTCATCATCCTTCTTTAGAGAAGGAAATCTCCGACAAACTCCACCATATCTCAAGATAGGAGAGCGTCTTCCTTACTTTAGAGAAGGAGCGTGGATTTTGGGGAATCATCATTTCTCCTACGATAAGGAGAGCTTCTTCCGGAGCAAAGTTGGACTCCAGCCAACCATCATTGGTGATAAACTTGTTCCCTTGCATCTTCCCTTTCCTTAGCTAGCCATAGGATTGTGTTAGAGAATGATTAAGAGTAGGTTGTTGTTTTCCTAAAGAAATCCGCTAGGATGGAATACCGTCATGGACAAATCTCCTGCGAATATGAGTGTCCTACCTTGTAAAAGCCTTAGTGCCAACGCTAGACGGTCGGAATCCGTATTTTCCGAGGCCTTGGTGTTTCCAATCTTTCCTGGAGTGCTTGAAATATTTGGATGTTGTAGAATGGAAAAAACTTTTTAGCTAGTTCATTTTACAAAGTTTTTAGAGTTGTAGGATGAAAAATGTTTTGTAGCTAGTCCATTCTACGATTCATTGAGAGTTTCCCTTCGAGAAATCAGAGGGAAAAATTCCCAACACCCTTCAGCAAAGTCGGAGGTGGCTATTCCTCCTGTCCATGCATGGAAACCTAGGTACCTATGCGGTGGAGTTAGGACGAGGAAAGCTCGCATTCGAAATTCTCTTCCTTCTTCTTCTCCCATAAGGTGTAATTAAATAAAATGATACGTCCCTTTGTGTGTTGCTATTGACCTCATAACAAGCACACACACTTAAATCTTTGGTAGTGGCTTGCTTTCGTAGAGTCTTTTTGCTGATATGTTTCGAATGTATTTTCGATTTGATTTTGTTTGGGCGTACGCTCTTGGGCTATCTCGCGAAATTTACTTTACTGAGTTCCTTACGTTCTTTTTCTTATTTATCTTCGTTGTCGTATGTTCTTACCTTCTGATTACTATATTCCCCAGATCATCCATATTTCTGGAGGTGAGATTTACTTGATAAAGAGAATTAAACGGTTTTAAACAAACTGGCGAGTCCTTCAGAGAGAGAGAGAGAGAGAGAGAGAGAGAGAGAGAGAAGGATGAAAACAATGGGATTATACACACGACGGAGGAGAAGAAGAGTGCGGCAGACGACCCTGTCGAAGACTAGCATGATGCATGGGTGCGACAAAGTGCATCTTCTGAGGATTTAGGAGATTTATAGTGCTTCATATGTAAAAAAAAGGGAGGGATTGAGTGTCTGATATGTAAATACAAAGCTTCGAGTGCTCGATATGTAAAATAGGAAGTTTTGGATGATCTCTATATAAAACATCCCTAATTTTATTAGTAATGGTGAGCATTTTTATTATGTAATATAAGTAATGACGATTGGGAGATAACATTTAGTTAACATTAATCAAATAATAGTAATCAAGTAACAATATTCACATGCAATAATAATTAAATGATCATCAATATTTATTATTAAACCAAAATTTTTTATTTTTTTGATCTCTAAGCTGTCTCAAAATCTTAATGATGTCCTTTTCAACATGTAAAATGTGTGCTGATTTAAATTTTAGAACTGACATTTTAATTATATATAATATATAT